TTTTCACACTACATGACAAAAAAGAGGGAAAGCTGTCAAATTCTAAGGCAACAAGATTTGAATGGGGTTTCACACATCCTCCAACAAACAATGAACATAACTTAAAACAGAACACCAGATGGAATTAATCTGATTCACCGTTGTGGCAGGTGTAAAAGTCACTTCCATCTGTATATATAGCCTATTCTACCTTAATTATGTAGACCTACCTCTTTGAGCTGAGACCGTATAAATCAGCTGCCTCCATCAGGTAGTCTCTCAAAAGCATCTCTTGCTCTGTTGAGAACACCTTCTTGGGTCACTCTTTGGGGTGATTTTGATCCCTGACTCTCCAACCTCAACCTCTTCTTATGGAACCGGTACAGGGTGAGATGGCATATATCATGTGACTTTGCCACTGCCCTGACCAATTTGCCCTCCTGAACTTCATTGGAGGCCCTCTGCAGCAGAGGAAGTGGCACTCCCCTGTCTGTCTTCCTCTTTCTGATATTTGGCATACTGTAAACATATGCACACACTTTACGTACAGTATTTAATTCTGTTTTATTTTTAGAGGGACAATGCACACCAATCAAGAATATTGATCATTCGAGCAAATGAGCCATCATTGTAAATGTGCCATGTTACAACCGTCCCAGGTGGTCCGTGTTACGACCACCAGTCATGTTTTCACCCCCTGTGAACCTGCCTGATTGCTAGCTTGACCCATATTTAGCTATATGTTTAGCTTACAAAACAGTGATTCTAATAATACTAGTTTGGATTCCTAGACATTTGACCTCAAGACAGTATCCAAAAAATACATCATAACATTTTTGTTAATGTTTTACCTCAGAAACACACTTTTGCTGATATGTTTCGCGATAGATTTAAACGTGGCTCCTTTTTTTCACAGCAATCTTTCCATCTAAAGGCCCTGACACACCAAGCAGTCACCAGAGGACTCGCCGACGCCGACGTCGGCTGTTGCGTCGCGGTGTTCTCCTGCGTCTTGGCCATGTGTCGCATGGGAACACACCGCAAAGACTTCAGTGCGTGAGTGGCAATAACTCTCCTTACCAGCAGGCGGCGGTAGTGTGTATTCGTCATTAAAAATAGGCAACAACCGGAAGACAGAGAAGAAGAACAGACTGCGTGATATAAACAACAACAAATAGCGTGTGCAAACTGCAGCCTGGGGCCTATACTACGAAGCTGGTTCAACCTAACCTGGATATGTTTGAGTTAGCCGGTTGGCCTAATCCAAAACATACGCGCTCTCGCTAAACTGTACTACGACGCTGGTTATTAAGTGGATCGCTCAAGCCAGCCGTTTCCTATCTAGTTAGGTGCGCGTTCACATCATACGGATCCATATGGTTCACATGAAAGGGGTGGTATCTGGAGCATTCGACCAATCACAAACATGGAGAAGCGCACTGACAGCGCAGCGTCATACTTCCTGAATGAAAAGTGAACTTTAATACTAGTCAAAAATGAAGAAGTTAAACTTTAAACATCCATGACTTAAACACTTTATCCAGGATCAAAGCCACATAGCTGCACCTGCAAGGTGAATACAGCTGGCAAAAGAAAAAGTGTTTGAATGCGTACATTAACAGGTATGATATCACTGCCCTGTCTAAAACACGATCTGACTTTAATTACATTTGTCTCGAGTGTTTCGTCAACTTAATATGTTGCTTAAAATAATACTTCTGCATACAGTATGTGACAATATGAGTGTTGCACGGCCAGATACGGCTCAAAAAGCTGAGTCAGATAAAGAAATATATGGTACATTATGAAGTGATATGCCGCGGACTGTACTTAATGTTACTTTGATCCGGTTACTTATGTTGTGGCAGATATTTAAGTAAGCTTTCTTAACGCTAATGTTATAATAGTCAGATTGCTCTGAAGATGGGAGGTGATATTCTATTCATTTTCACGTTCACACAGTCGGTGATTTTTGCCGGCCGTCTTTCCTGCAATGGCAGTTTTTCTGTATTTCCTTTCTCCTGTAATATGACTTGATCACTTTAAACTCCGCACACTGAGCTCTGATTGGTCAGCAGGCGGTGCTTTCACTGAGTTGATCTCTTAGCCTGCAACCTAACCTGGTCCCGACCAGGTTAGCCGCTAAGCATAAGTTACCATGGAGATCTAGCCTGCTAAAAAGAGAACCAGCTTCGTAGGACCGGAAAGCCGGAGTTTTCCCTGAATTTAGCCGGCTAAGCGAAAATCCTGCTTCGTAGTATACCCCCCAGGTTATGATCCACTGCTGTCTGCCCGTCTTTGGTGCTCCACAACTACCCCAAGGGGCAAGTCTCCTGTACCGGGTGTACTGGGTTCGCAGAGAATCCCACTTCTTACTCAGCTCTTTCTCTGAAGCACACAAATAAACGATGTAAGCATTGTGACTAGTTAGCATGTCCAATTCATATCTATATGCAGCGCCAAACTGCACAGCTAGCAACAGCTAGCAACAAGATAACAACAAAACACAAGGTTGAAATAACAAATTACATTTCACGTTAACGTCACTGTACGCTGGCAAACAATAAAAAGACAACAATATCTGCTAAAGAGCTCAATTGATGAAAAATATAATCTTACACGAGAAACCAAGTTGCGTTTCAATCTCTCGCCAGAGTCCGGTTTTCACTACTCGGTTCGAGTACCTTTTCTCTGTGATGTCGTACAGAGCTGGCCTCTCCTGGATCAATGTGATGAGCAGGTCTTCGTTTGCGTCATTCCAGATCGCCATGATGAGATGAAAATGAATATCAGTCTCTGTGTGCCTTCTTAAATCGTTTGTTTACGTCCCTCACTTCCGTGTCGCTTCTCATGCACTGATTCGCTAGCTGAACAGCCAATCAGAGTGTTGTTTGGTCCGACTGCCAGACCCGATGCATGGCCGATTCTCGGGACAGGCAGTCCAAATAAGGCGTGTCACGGTCGACGGTGCGGGACACACCAAATTGAGTTTGGGCGACAGGACACGCTTCGTCTCCCGACTTACGAAAACAGCCGAAATCGGCCTGGTGTGTCAGGGCCTTAACTGAGCATGTGCAGAGTGAGTTTCATCACTCTAGCTTGTTTGTGATTGGAGATATTGAAGGCGTTACAACTATCCCGTGTTACAACTGTCCCTGGTCTCCTACCATATGATACTCTGTCCAGGATTAAGTATGATGAGAGGATTTTGTGTTTTGAATATGTAAAGAGCAAAGTTACATTTACATCAATTAAAATAAATGTATGGCAAGTATGATAAAATGAACATAATGTCAAGATATAGCCAATATACAATCAACATGCTTGAATATAAGGCAAGAAGAACAATACACAGATGTTTATATAGTGTAAATTGTGATAGAGCAAACCATCTTAATACATGTAGCAGCCTAAGACAGCAAAGCTTCTTGAACTGCTGCTAGAACACAGTTTTACCATGGGGTATTTCTAACAAGACCAAAAAGATATACAAGGCTTCCAAAACAGAAGAAACCAACTCAATACAGTATTTCCTTCAAAACGACAAAAGCGCAAATAAAAACCAAATAACACAACATGTGATGTTAGAAATATGAATATAAGATTAATAATTACAGCATGTTTGCTAAATGAGAATATTTGTATCTTATAAAATAATTCCTACAACATCTTCTGTATAACAAGTTCTATTTGCAAGGACCTAAGTTAAGTTAACCCTTCTCTTGCGTTCGGTCATACCCCCGTTTCCCATACTATTTTCGGACAAAATTTTCTCTTGATATTTCTGGAACCCCTTATCCCATTTTGATGGTTGACATCTCATTTGAACAGTCATAGCAAGTAGAATCAAGGGAGTGGCAGACAGAATGACACCAGGGGTGAATTTCATGTTATAACTTTGCAGTAAGTTCAAAAATAGTGTTTACTGTACATTACTGTATATTATAAAAATGCTTGCCATGTAGGCTGTGTTTACTGGAGTTAGTGTTGTAGCTTAGATTCTTCCTGTTCCAATGATGTATGGGATGTATTGATTTGATACAAGCAGTGTTTCATTGTGTACTTTCAACTACAGTATATGATCCGGCAAGTTCAACATTCACTGTGATGAATATAAAATAAGACACTGATACTGTTTTACTCAATGAACATGTATGTGTGTGTGTGTGTGTGTGTGTCAAAATCAGCTGTTTCTCAATGTATTTCTTAGAGGGGCACCATCCAAGCTGATCTGCTCGATATGCAGAAAAGAAGTCCTTCCGGTCAGTAAGCCTCTGTGGACACGTTGGCACGCAGGTCTCACAAGCTGCCGGACCGAGAGTTTGATCCTGCCTGCGGCGGGAGGAGGCGGTCTGCTCGGCAGCCTGCCCTTGGCTCTGGGGTGCCTCCTTAAAAAAAACAAAAAAAACAGTTAAATAAAACATTTATCTTAACAGATACGATTGGTTTGGAGGGGCAGGAGATCTTCCCTGCTAGAGAAGTACAAATGATACGCAATGAAACGTTCTTTTTTCTAAGAATGAATGCTTGCATGACATGTACAGAGCTCCATATTCTTCAAGTTACTCTTTAAGTAGGTCACTGGCAAACAGTACATACTGACTGCTCTTCCACTATTGATGAATGCAACACAATTACAGGGTTGATATGTTTCTTGGTACCTGATGAATAGTAATACAAATAAAATAAAGCATTCTTTGTCTCTTGTTAGTATTTGATATTAGATGTTTTGCTCTGTCCAGAATTGTTTTTGTTGTATACAACAAAAACAATTATAGATGCTAAACGTTAACACTAATATACATTTGAGAATAGCTTACAGTTTTGTTTAGCTCCTGTTATGTATTCTTTTAACACACATGTTTAAATAAAGACGGTTTCTTTTGTTTTAAATCCTGCAAATGGTCACGCTTGCTATCTTCTGCCTTTAGGAACTTTATGACCTGCGAGTAAGTGTAAAAATGATCAATTTTCCTGGAGGGCTTTGTGAAGCCAGTCTTATGACTTGCCAATTGTAATAGTGTGTACTGAGAATCCACTGTTTACAGAGAACTTTCAAACATGTGCTGAGGTTAGAAGAAGCTATAAAAAGCCAAAAGTCCCCAGCTGTCCATTTGCAAACAAACCAGCATTTCAGAAGAGAAAGCGTTTGTCTCAGAGTGGAATATTATTGGATGTTGAAATCAGGGTCAGAGGCGTCCTCCTGGTGTCGCGAGCTCACTGACTCTTGTTGGCTCTTGTGTCGCAGATGGCCTTGCGTTGGTTTTACTTACAGGTTCAGAGTTTTTACCTTCAACATGAGTAATGTTCACAGTGAGTTGACTCCGAGGCAGAGGGAGTTATTGAAAATTCGCCGGGACAGCGACACTAAGACTGCTGAACTGGTCAAGATGGAGAAGATGCTGCAGCAGACCAAGGACCTGCTGGACAGGAAGACAGAATCCTGCTCAGACAGCATGGACTTACAGGAGAACATGGGTCTGTACCACATCCTACTAAATGCTCCTGTGTGTTGAAATCTCTATCTGGTGCACTGATAAAGCTGAAACGTTGACTTTAAAGATCACCTATTATGCAAAATCCACTTGTCATGTCTTTTATAAACATGTGTCCCCTCTGTGTAAAGAGATTCTGAAAGTTTCAGGAACAAAGATTCTCTCTTTTTGTCCTGATCCATTTATATAAAAACCTGTCTGAAAATGAGCTGATCAGATTTTGGCCACTTTATGATGTCATAACGATGAACTTGTGTAACCATAAGCCAATCAGCAACCAAGGTAACCCCCCCCCCACCTTATCACCTGAATCTCCTCCTAGAGCACCATTAGGCGCATTCACACTGCGATACTTTTCCCACAAAGGTTCATGTGAACTTAGTTCATGAGAACTCTTTAGTTCATGAGAACTCTTTAGTTCTCATGAACTAAGTACAGATCGCGTTCACACTGGAATAAGTCCCTGGGGGTGGATTAGGCAAATGAAGCCGCTGACGTCACTTGTTCTTCTTCTGCTTTGGGCTTACTGGCAGGCCGCAAACCACTTCACGGCGTATACTGCTGCCCAAAGTCCCCGGCCGGAAGTCCCCGGAGTTGGGGACTGGCTTCAGTAGAAGCTGCTGGGACTCCCAGCAGCTTCTACTGAAGCCTTCCGAGTAAATCGCCAGAACGCCGACACCTCCTCATCTCCACCACTCCCATGTTTTATTTTGTGTTGCCATAAGTTAGTCTCTCTGCGTTTCTGCGCTGGGCTAATGCTAATGCTAATAATGCTAATGCGAGGATAATAAAATGGTGGCTTCACAAAACTTTTTGGTAGTTTTACGGGGCGTGGTTTGTAATCCGCCCAGCCAATCAGAAATATAGCTCTTTTCTCACAAGAGAGCCGCTCGAAAGTCCCTGCTCTCTAGCAGGGACTTTCGAGGGGGTAAAAAGGTTCACATGAACTAATTTTAGTACCGGCTCTTTTTGGTGTGAACGCGATAACAGAGTTCACATGAACTAAGTTCACATGAACCTTTGTGGGAAAAGTACCGCAGTGTGAATGCGCCTATTGAGGTCTTTGTAACCAAATCTCTCTCAGAGGGGCGTGGGGAGGGGCTCCTTATTTTCATCTAAAGTAACAGACAGAGAATCAGCACTTTGGAAACAGGGCTGAAACAGAGGGGATTATGGGATGCTACAATGATCTGTTTGGAGCCAAACACTTCAAAGACATGTTTTGTATATATCTGAGACCTATAATACATTGATGAAAAACAGTATAATAGGGGACCTTTAATATTATTTCTTTCAACTAACCTAATACAGGTATGTGAAATCTGTTTCACATACCTGTATTAAAACATTTAATTAGATTCACAGCTTCCGTTTTTTTCCGTGCACTTGTGGTAACAGTCTTTTGGTTGCAGTGGAGGATCTGGAGGAGAAGGTGCGCTCCAGCCGGCGCCACAGGAGGAGCTCGCTGCACCACACACAGCTGCTAGAGAGCCAGATGAAAACAGTGAAGGGCGAGCTGGTGGGCACGCTGGACCACCTGCAAGAGCTGAGGAACGTCCTGCGGCGCTCCCAGCAGAAAGCAGAGGAACGCAAGGCAGCCATGGAGAAGCTGGCGGCGGGGCTCAGGTGAAGCACCAGGCTCTGACCACTTCAAGCTTCAATACCCCAACTGATCGGACCCCCAGGGAACCCACTGAGACCGCACCCATGCACTGGTTAAAAGAAGAAAGAAACTTGAGCTGATGTGTTGGTCTTCACTCTCTCCTCCGTCACTGCAGTGTTTGGCATCCAAAGACTAAATTCAAAAAGGCTTTGACAGTGTTTTAACACAATAATGCTTTTAAAAGAAGTAGAAGGAGTTCCTTCTTCCTTTTTTCCCCCCTTCTTAATCTAAAGCTTTTTTTGACATACGTTGTCAGCTGTGGCGACTGGTGGAAATTATTTTAGGTGGGGGAATTGTAATGGTGAATAAACCACACGGGGAACATTTTGAGAAATGACCCCTTTTATGACTTCTGGTGATGTTAGAGATATGAGAAGACTGACCAATACCTCCATAATCTTCAGTGTGGTTAGCTATGAATCTTCCAAAACTTCCAAACACCTTGTCCTGGACATAGTTTCTACAGTAAACTGTGCAACAGTACAGTAGGCCCACACAAACTGCAGAACACCGGTTCTTTGGGAACACTCAAATGATTGAATTCCCATTTGAAATCAGGAGACTAAATACGAACATTATATGCGGACACGGACGTGGTTCAGAAACACAGACATATTAGAAAACAGACCATTAAGGCAACAAATCTAGTTTGATGGATGCTGTCAAAACTCAACTATATACAATCATATATTGTGTGTGTGTGTGTGTGTGTGTGTGTTTATTTATCACGGGCACATAGTATCTGTCCCCGGCTGTTTGAAGAGCAAGCATGGGAAACAAAAAGACAGCGTTTACCTGTTTGCATCCAGCTAGTCACACACAGTTCCAATCACACTCCCTGTAATTGACATCATTAATAGATAGTTTAGCTTCTCACCATCATTGCTGTGGCCCACTGATGTTAACGATCAACTGAAAGGCTGCCTGTCAAACGTAAACATTCAGCCACGTGACTCGCAAACTCTCGCGAGAGTTTTACACAAGACGGATCCTTTCTAGCCATAACCAACTCGCAGACTGCATCGGGCGCTGAAATTGCCGCCCTTTGAGCATCAGATCTGACGACGCTGATTGGCTGAAATTATGTTTCGGCGGTATAGTTTAAAGATAGCAACAGTCAGCAATGTGTTGGATGCCGCTGGGGCTGAGTGAGGGCTCCTTTCTTAGCGCCCAGACGAGAGAGGGTAATGATACACGCTGCGGCCAGGCAGGAAACATGTGACTTATCAGTAACTTTAGACATCGTAACACAATTTTAAACGAGATTTTATTTTAGATTATACATTTTAGTGATACCAACTATATCATATTTACCTTGTTCATTAAAAAAATGTTTTATTTTGAATGACAATCAAACATGTGGGGAGAGGGGGGGGCGGTGCCCCTATGGTCCGGCCGCCACTGGTTGTCAGATTTTCCCAGAACCTGCATCTCTGTCCTGTGGAAACGATCTGAGCGATGATTCTAAATCCCTGCTGTTTAAAACCATATTAAATCATACATACAGTATTCCCTTTTTCTTTAACTCTTTGCACATTGAGTGGTGTTCAAGTTCTAACGATTTATCTTGAGCAGCCCTATGTTTTTCTCTGGGTTTATCTTTGCTCAGCCGTTTATGAAAAGAAAATATCTCCATGATTTACGGTCTCTGCAGCTCTAGAAATCCCCTCTGTGTTATTGCTTCACAAACCTGTTTTAATTAATTCTTCCTCGCCAATATTAACATGTAAGCTGTATTTTGCCTGTAAAGTTCACCAACTTTGTAATTTGTATGTTATTAAATTCTTAGATGCTGATTACTCTTGTATGAATTGTTTCTTGGAAAATATTACAATAATTGTTCGCTCATTGCATTTTTTGATGTATTATCTCAGATTCAAGTTTGTCTTTATATGGTTTTATCAGTTAAAATAAACACAAGTATTATAATGAATAGTAATCCAATTTATTTGTGCTTTATAAGAGAAAATATGCATAAAATTAACACAAAACAGGAATAGAATATCATAAATAATTAAAAAAGGTTCACCAATTATTAAAAAACAATATTTAGAAAATAGATAATAAACTAGAGATACAAATATAATAATAATAATAATAATAATAATAACAACAATAATAATATTGTTGAATATAATAATTACATGAGAATAAATATATTCATTGCTAGCAGTAAATAAAATAATTAAATCAGATGAACAATAATTAAGCGAATTAGTTTAATACCAACAGTATGTCTTTTGTCATTTTGTTCCAGAGGACAGAGAAGTGTTCCAGTGTTCCTCCTCTCTCCCTGCGGTGTGTTTCCTGCGGTCAGTCATCTGAAAACTCTGTTTCTTCCCTGTGGATCGGATGTTGTCTCACCTAATTTAGCACACATGGTTTCACACAACGTCACATGCTGCGAGGCTGTGGGACGATCTCATTGGCTGACCATCACATAGACCTTTAACTGTAATTATAACTCCATGAAGGAGCAAAGTCACATGAACTCATCTCTATGTAAAGCTGACACCAAGCACCTCCAAACATAAATAATGACTGATGTTATATTATTAATATTAACTTTTGTGTCGTGTGTCTGCATTCATTCAATTTAGAAATGTTTAAGTAGGCCTACTATTTGAATGCACTTTATTTGACAATTCAGAAGCACATATTGTACCTTTGACATCTTTAGTTTTTTTATGAATTCAAAATAGTATAAACAAACCTGTTATGTGGCTGAGGAGGTAGAGTGGTCCTCCTGTTGAAGTTTCATTGGGCAAGATATTGATACCCAAGATGCTCCTGAAGCGGTAGCCAGCGGTGTGTACAGTAAGTGTGTGTTAATGTGTATCACTCCTAGCGAGCAGGTAACTTCTGCCTCTGTATGTGTGTGAAGGATAAATGCACTTTGAGGGGTCACAAAGAAGAATATCTATTTTTAAAAACCTCCATCTTTTATTAATGCATCAAAAATGATAATCCCACAATTTATATATATATATTAGGGCCGGGACTCGATTACAAAATTAATCTAATTAATTAGAGGCTTTGTAATTAATTAATCGAAATTAATCGCATTTTTAATCACATATAAATATTTGACCTGAGAACAGTGAGAAGCAATTTTTTTCACATGGATTTTAGTATACCATTAGGCGCATTCACACCGCAGTACTTTTCCCACAAAGGTTCATGAGAATTTAGTTCATGAGAACTCTTTGAACCTGGGGGTGGATTAGGCAAATTAAGCCGCTGACGTCACTTCTTCTTCTTCTGCTTTGGATTTACTGGCAGGCCGCAAACCACTTCACGGCGTATACTGCCGCCCAAAGTCCCCGGCCGGAAGTCCCCGGAGTTGGGGACTGGCTTCAGTAGAAGCTGCTGGGAGTCCCAGCAGCCTTCCGAGTAAATCGCCAGAACGCCGACACCTCCTCATCTCCACCGCTCCCATGTTTTATTTTGTGTTGCCATAAGTTAGTCTCTCTGCGTTTCTGCGCTGGGCTAATGCTAATAATGCTAATGCTAATAATGCTAATGCGAGGATAATAAAATGGCGGCTTCACAAAACTTTTTGGGAGTTTTACGGGGCGTGGTTTGCAATCCGCCCAGCCAATCAAAAATATAGCTATTTTCTCACAAGAGAGCCGTACGAAAGTCTCTGCTCTCTAGCAGCTCTCTGCTCTCTAGCAGGGACTTTCGTGGGGGTAAAAAGGTTCTCATGAACTAATTTTAGTACCGGCTCTTTTTGGTGTGAACGCTATAAAAGAAGCTAACGTCCACGCTAGCTTCCACGCTAGCTGCTATATGTTTTGCATTGAGGTGATACTTGAGGCTTGATGTGCTGCGGTGATATGCGAATTCCTTTTTGCATAATTTGCACACAACCGTGCTCTTATCGACGCTTCCATCCGTCCGTTTTTTAAAACAACATTTCCCACTGTTGTTCACTGTGGTTTGTTGTTGTCTGAAGTCATGAACGTTAGTTGGTGCTCCAGTATAATCGGTACGCCTGAAACTCATCCAGTGAGAAACGTTCCGCGGTGCAAAAATAAGTGCGATTAAAATGCGTTAATTTTTTTAACGCGTTAATTTTTGTGTAATTAATTAATCTTAATTAACGCGTTAAAGTCCCGGCCCTAATATATATATATATTTCTGAATTGAGTGGTTTTGCAGAATGATATACTTTACTTTAAGTGCTTTTGATACTGAAACATGTACTTTCACTTAAGTACGCTTTTGAACGATGGACTTTTACTTGTAGCAGAGTGTTCCTACATTCTGGTGTTACTATTTTATCAGGTAAAATATCTGATTACTTAGTCCACCTCTGAAAAAAACCAAGAAATAATAAATATTTAAACAGTAAAATACTGCATGTTGTCCATCAGGGATAAAGGTTAGCTGTAATTCTCCTTCTTTCTCCTACCGGTCAACAGGGTCTGCAGGGCACAAACACTCTCACAGGCTCCTCGTCCAATCATGGACATCCTTATAACAGAAGCCCCTGCAGGGGGCCCGAGAGCGCTCAGAGTAACAGACTGTAAGGTTTCAGCGTTAGAGTTCTTTTAGTTTATTGTTTTGTGTTTATTTTTGTGGCCTTGCATTTTATTTTGTTTTTGACTCTACCCTCTCTTTTCAGGTGTCTACACTTCCTGTCGTTGTGTGTCACCTGCCAGCTTGTGTGTCTCATGTGCTCATGATCACCAGCCCCGCCCCTGATTGTTTTCACCTGTCCCCCATTAACCGTGGTGTGTATTTATAGCCCTGCTCTCCTTTTGTCTTTTGTCGGTTCGTCTTGTCTCCACGTCGAGTCCATGTCTGTAAACATTAGTGATCTGTTGAGCAACCTAGTAGAACCTAGAGATCTTGTGAGAATCCTAGTAGAACCTAGTAACCTAGTTGAACCTAGAGATCTTGTGAGAATCCTAGTAGAACCTAGTGATCTTTTGTTTTTGAAATATATTTTATTAATAAAATATATTTTTGGAAGTCAACCGAATCGTGCATCTGAGTTCTTGTGAGTCCTTCGTGTCACAGACATCTATCTAATTTATTCCTAATTCAGAAACAGACGTGCAATACGTTTTTACGTGAGCTTTTGACCATTCCTTTTTGAACAATAATGTAATATCTCTAGGATGATTTATTTTAATACTATAGTATATGTACTGAACATTATAGATCAGAAGGTTTTTAATTTATCAGAGGGTTGGCGGGTTCAATCCCTGTCAAATCATTCGGATTACTTACGTAACAATACAACAGTGATTTATTACTGTGATTTATTGACGTACCTTACATGTTCAGCTTCGTTGAGCCATTGTTTATGAGGTTATTATTATTTGAATACCTGTTGGTCTGTCACAGTTTAATTGAAGCCTGTCATCCACCTTTCATTGCGGTACCATTTCACTGAAGGTATTAGGGAGAGTTAACAGGTTAGTCTGCCTGCCA